TGCTGCAGGAGGCACCCAGCGACACCGAGCAGCCACCCACGGGGGGGGGCCCGGCCCCACATTCGTTGGAAAGCAAAGCATTTCATCTCGCCCCCCTCCCCCCCCAAGTTTTTCGGGGGAGAGGGGCGATGCTGAGCCATGCGGTGCTCCAGGGGAGAGAGGAAGAGGAGCGAAGAAGAGCAGGGGTGGCAGAACAGAACAGAAAAGGAGGAGGAAGGGGGGTTCCCAGCATGGCTGCAGCAGGAGGAGACTCCTCCTGTCCTCAGCACCAGCCTGAGCACCCAAAAAAAAAAAAAGGGGGATGACAGAGAGACCCACGACGTTGTGGGCCACCTGCAATGAACCCCCCCAGCTACCTCTGCAGAGCCTGGGCTGGCGAGGGGAAGAAGCTGGCACCCAAGGTCACGGCCAAGACCACCAGGTACTGCTGCACCCTCCTGCTGGGTCCTGCTGGCATCCTGCTCTCCCCGGGCAGCCGCCTCCTTTGCCAGCAGCTTCCCTGCATCCCAGAGGGGAGGATGCTTTTATAGCCTGGGTTTCTGCAGCCGTGTGGGTTTCTCCTCCCCGCTGGCCGGGGGAGGGCTGGGGATCCCACAGGCAGCCCCGTGGGCAGGTGGCTGGATGGTGACAGTCCCTGAGGAGGGTGGCATGGCCAGGAGAGCCCCGTGCCTGGTGGGCACAGCCGACAAGTGTGGCTGGCCAAGGGGACCTGTGAATGATTGGGAGCCACAAACCCACGCTCCTTGCAGTTAGTGGCATTGCTGTGTGTCATCACCCGGCCGTTGCCAACACGGCATGTGTAGGGCACGGGCCAAATGCCTGCTGGTGTCAGTCAGGAGAGCTGGTGGGTGATGCTGACAGAGGTGGCTCAGGTTTAGAGGGCAGTCTGGCCAAGGAGGTGTCCCTGAGCTCCACGCTGCAAAGAAATGGGGTTTTCTCCAAAGGCCCAGGGTTGGGAGCAGCAAAGAGACCTCACCCACAGCCCCTCCAGCCACACAGACACTGATGGAAACCCATCAGACCCTGCTGCCCTCATGGGGGCACAGCAAGGGGGGACCTTCCCCCCCAGATCTATTACACCAGAGAGGGAGCAGAGAACAGCTGAACTCATTGCAGGTGTTGCAAATTATACAGGACCAAGGTAGGAGCATCCACAGCCTGTCCAGGCACAGCAAGATCAGGAGGAGCAGTCTGTCTCTGCCCTGTACAAGTGGGGTGTGGAGGAGCCCAGCCTGGCTCTGGGTGCCCGTGCTGCTCTGCCCTGGGCTCTGGAAGGGAGATGCTGCTCGAAAACCCCAGCGTGGGCTGCAGAGGACTCCTCAGTACAAGGTGCATCCCTGGTCCCCAGCTCCCACACGGCTGCATTTCCCCAAGCCCAGGGTGGTGGGTGCCAGATCAGGCCCCGTGGCTCCAAGCCCAGAGCTTGAGCTCAGGAAATCTCGGTGGGAAATGACCGCAAAGGCAATAAAAATGTTCTTGGAAGAAGGAACCTGATGACACACTTGCCCTTGCCTCGAAACCCCAGCTACGCAACCGCTCCTGTTGTGGATGGGGTTTGTTTAGGGCACTGCTGTCACCTTTGTCCAGGGGACACCAGTGCTGGGGTGGGGGGGGGTGAGGAGGACACCCCACAGGCTATGGAGAGCTTCCCCCAAAAACCAGGGCTCCAAAGCCTCCTTCCCCTGGGGGATTTTGGCTGCAGTGTTTGGAGCCAGGGGAAGGCTGACCTCGGCGGGCACCAAGGCTCTGCCTCGTGGGTCGCAGCCCCGTTATCCCCCGGCCCTGACGTCTTTTCCCACGCCGAACCCCGGTGCTGCGTCACTCGGGGGAGCCTTGTGGCCCGGCACAGGTTGCAGCGAGGTGCAGAGGTCAGGAGGCAGCAACCCAGCCCAGGGACTGCAGCGATGTGAGAGAGAGAGAGAGCCTGGCAGGGAGCCACCGGACATAAATCCCCTTTCCGGGCATCCCGCGGGCTCTGTGTGCTTTGCTGAGCCCCGTTCCCCAAAGGAGACCCCAGGGCTGTGGTGTGACTCCGAAGGGAAGGGGCCACGTCAGCCTGGGAAGGTGGTCCCAGGATGTAGGGCCCTGGGGCTCTGGCTTTTCCGGCTCCCGTTTGACCCATGACCAAGGGGAGACACGTCGACAGGAGCCCTGAGGAGTGTTGGATGCTCTGGGCATGGCTTTTCCCTGGGAGGGACAGATGGACTCCCCTCCCGTGGGGCAGCCGGAGTGGGATGCAGCTGGGAATGATGGAGGGATGGGGGTCCCCGAGGGAGACAGCCCTTCCCCGCCAAGGGGTTGGCATCACAGACCCTTTTGAAAGAAAACCAAGGCATAAACAGGTGAAAAACCAACTTACCCAAGCCCATCAGAGAACTCAGGGCTGTTGCCCTGCAGTGGCCAGTGCTAGCCCTGAGGCTGACCTGCCTCTCTGGCAGCACCAGGGCTGGAGGACGCCCTCGGCACAGGACACCTTCCCCACGCAAGGAAAATCCCTGGAAGGCATTTTCCATTCACCTCTTCCAGCAGCAAGCAGGGATGAGGAGCAGGTGCACGGGAGAAGCGATGGAAAGACCTGATGCTGGGTTTTAAGGGTGAATTTGTGCACAGGGTTACAGGATCAGGGGAGGGGGAAGGAGTTTCCCCCCCAGGCTCACAGGTCTGGAGCAGGAGCCGTGCCAAGAGCCAGGCTCTGCAGGGCAGGGCAGGGAAGGATGGCATCAGGGGCATCAGCCAGCTCTGAGATGGCATTGGTTTTATTCCCAGCCCACCAGAAGACCCAGGGAGGATGCTTAGCAATCCCCACACAGCCTCGGAGCATCCATCAGCTCTAACCAAAGCATCACTTAACCTGGATCCGCAGGGACTGAAGGTAAGAGGCCAGCAGGAAAGGCTGCAGTCTCCCCGTCGGGTCCTGCTCTGCTCTGGGAATCCAGCTGCACTTTGCTGCAAAGGGCTGGGGCTTCCTACAGTTCTGTATCCTACGAAGAGCAGCTCATCTGGAAATAGCAGGGGAATGCTCTTAAGTTATTTCCCTGCCTGCTTTCAAGGAGTCGAACGATTGAGCTAAGAGTGAATTCAAGGAAAAACGCTTTCCAGAGAGAAACAAACGTGTTCCTCTGTAGTGTTGGGCTGAACAAGAGCATTTCTTCCAATAAAATTTGAGATGTTAAGTACTTCCTTCTCTAAATGGAATCATTAGGAAGTTTTACTGAACAGCCTTATTTCTTGAGGGATCTTTTAAAAGGGTACAAAAAGGTAGGCACATTTCTGTCCTTCCCACACATTTTACGCACTTTTCTAGTAGGTGAGTTTGTTGCTAGTAAAAACACACGAGGCTCGTGAGAATCCTTGTTCCGGGTGATCGAGAAGCTCAAGCACCAAAGCAACTTTTGGGAAGGACTTAGAGGAGGCTCTGGATGGCACCAACACCGGGGGAATTCGGTCATTGACGTCAACAGAGCCAGGGCTTCACCCAAATTGTTTGCTTAGAACCAGAGCTCTCTGGCAGGGCACATCGAAATCGTGATTTACTGAACCAGAGGGAAAACATTTCCCTGCAATAAACTGGGAAGAGCAGCACCAACTCCAGCTCACTGCTGCCTGCTCCAGCCCAGAGGCAGCTCCCAGAGGTTCCCTGGGTCACTCTGGACCCTGGTGGGAAGTGTCCCCCGCTGTCACCTGGGGATGATGCTCCAGCCTGGATGATTTTCCCAGTAGGGTGAAGCAACTGGGGCACACACACAGTTTATCCACACTTGCTGCTGTGGGGACAGGGCATTAAACAGGGGGAAATCGCATCATCCTGCATGTGATGTCTCCAGAGCCACTCTTCTTTCTTCTGGTGAAGCCCTGAAGATGAAACTTCACCAGGAAAAGTTGCTTCTCCAGCCCGAGGGTGAGGCAAAGACAGGAGCTCCAGCCAGGCATCAGGGAGGCTGCAGCCCTCACTTACCTGTGTGGTGTCCATCCCAGCCCTCCTCCACCAGCAGCTGCCCAGCTCTTGCTCTGCTCCAAACCTTTCATCAAAACTGGTCTTGATACCAGCAGAGCTGGACCCACCTCTGCCTTCCTCCTACCCACAGCCAAGTTCATGCTGGGAAGTTGCTTGCTTTTGGTAGCTTGGTTGGGTTTTTTTTTTGCATCTCAGGAGCCTTCTGCTGCAATCTGCACTCAAAATCAAGGCACCCCCTCAAAAACCAGCAAGAAGAGAGCAGCTTCTCCAGAGCCAGACCTCCAAGGGGTGCAAAACATCCATACCCAGCTTTGGAAGAGGGGGCTGCCCTCATTTATACCTGTTGGGAGCTCGTTCTCTCTTCCCCAGGGCTCAACCAAGCTGCTGGAGGTGGGGTTTGGTACCCAAATGAGTTACCCCACATCAGCTGAGCTGTCAGAGCTGCTCCCAGTTTTCACCTGGTGCCAACCCACTGCAAACTGGGCACCGGTGTGGTGCCTGCCATGTGCCAACAGGCGCTGCCACCAGCTCCGTCAGGCTGCGCTTCAATCAAGAGGGAACAGGTTTAACTCAAACTCATTAATTAATTCTTGCAAGTTAAGAAGGGTATCTGCACAGGGACCGGCTTTGATGTGATTGCCGGGGTTTAATTAAGCTCCAGCTCGCACCCAGCTGGGCTGCCCTCATTTATACCTGTTGGGAGCTCGTTCTCTCTTCCCCAGGGCTCAACCAAGCTGCTGGAGGTGGGGTTTGGGTACCCAAATGAGTTACCCCACATCAGCTGAGCTGTCAGAGCTGCTCCCAGTTTTCACCTGGTGCCAACCCACTGCAAACTGGGCACCGGTGTGGTGCCTGCCATGTGCCAACAGGCGCTGCCACCAGCTCCGTCAGGCTGCGCTTCAATCAAGAGGGAACAGGTTTAACTCAAACTCGTTAATTAATTCTTGCAAGTTAAGAAGGGTATCTGCACAGGGACCGGCTTTGATGTGATTGTCGGGGTTTAATTAAGCTCCAGCTCTCACCCAGCTTCCCCAGTGCTCACAGAAACCTGGCTCACATCCATGGAGCTTGTGTCTCGGATGGCACAGAGCGGTTGAGTTATCTGACCAGTTCCCTGGCAGAGCTGGCTGCTCTCCTGGGGAGAGAAGCTCCTCCAGCCCCACCAAAACAGCTCCTTTAAAATCATCTGAGCTCTGTGCCGACCTCAGATTCCTGCCTGCAGTGAAGGTCTGTCTCCCAGCGAGCAGCCGGCCCCTTGCACCAGGGGATGCTCGTCCTCCGGAGCATCCAGAGGCGCAGGACCTGCCTGAAGCAGGGTCTAAAAGCACCTGATGTACCTGGGCCTGAGTGGTTCTCGGGGCCAAATCAGCTGCAGAGAGGACACAGAGGAGATGTGGTGGGGGATGCGATGTGACAGGGCTCCCAGCAGCCAGGCAAAATAGTCACTTTCTATCCCTACAGACACAGGTTGGAAAGCAGGAGCTTCCCATCGCCCTCCCAGAAGGTGTGCTGGAGCTGTGAGGGTGTGCAGCAGATGAAAAGGCGCTTTGGATGCCAGTGGATGGGGCTGGATCCCTCTCTGGGGTGTAAATCACAGGTCTCAGTGGGAGTGGTGCAGACAGCAGGGTCACGGGTAGGCAGACAGACCCCCTCAGCACCCACACCGGCAATGGGGTGGGCACAGGGAGCTGGAGATGTTCTCCTGGCTTGAGCTGTCCCAGTACTCACCACCACCATAGCTCCCACCAGCTCCATCCCACCAGACACCAGCCAGCGGGTCCAGCTCTGCTCCCTCCCGGCCACATCCCACAGGAAGCAGCTCTATAGAAAGTGCGAGTCCTGACCCAAAACCCTCAGAGATACCAGCACTGTAACTCCATGGATTTGCTCCAGGCCCCCCTCCCACCCCAGCATCTCTCAATTAATTAATAACCCCAGATGTCATTTGCTTTTTCATGGTGGCTGAATTCGAACGGGGTAATTTGCTCTCCTCCGATCGGGTCATGAAATGTTAATGTGGTTTAATGGGTGTTTTCCCAACCTCCCCTGCCCCCTCCCGCCTCTCCCCGGGCTCTGGCTCCGCAGCCCATGTCCCCGTGGGACGCGTGGGAAGGCAGCGCCAAGGCCACTGCCTGCCAGCCAGGATTGGCCAGGGCTTGGCCAGGACAGCTGGGGCCATGGCCACCAGAAGGTCCCCATGTCACCTCCAGCAATGGCCATGGTAAGAACCCCATGCCATCTCCAGCCACGGCCATGGGAATGTCCCTGTGCCATCTCCAGTCATAGCCATGGGAAGGTCCCCATGCCATCTCCAGCAGTGACCATGAGAAGGTCCCCGTGCCACCTCTAGCCACAGACACGGGAAGGTCCCTGTGTCATCTTCAGCTATGGCCATGATGCCTCTTGGTGATGCTAAGAAAAACCAGAGCTGGAGCAAGCCTGGAGCCAGAGGAAAGGAGCACAGCCTGAGTTCAGTCTCAGACACATTTTTTAATTAAATCTCTCAACAGGGAAAGACAAAAAGAATAAAATAACGCCAATAATTCCAGAAGCCTGCCTGGCACAGCGTTTGGTCCCCGGAGCCTCGCTCAGGAGCTGCTCACAGGAGCCCCTAATTAAATCTCTCAACAGGGAAAGACAAAAAGAATAAAATAACGCCAATAATTCCAGAAGCCTGCCTGGCACAGCGTTTGGTCCCCGGAGCCTCGCTCAGGAGCTGCTCACAAGGAGCCCCAGGGGGCAGTGAGGCATCATCCCCACAGCTGGGGTAGTGCCAAGGGTCCCGGGGCCAGGAGAGGTGACAGCTCACCACGGGACAGCCGGATCCAGGGCTTCCTTGTGCCATCCCATCTCCAGCAATGAGGCCCGTCTCTCAGGTCACACCATGGAGCTGCTGCCTCCCGCATTCTGCAAGAGCTGCAACAGGGAGAGATCCTGATTAGCAGGAAAATCCTCCAGTGTGACAGCTCACCACGGGACAGCCGGATCCAGGGCTTCCTTGTGCCATCCCATCTCCAGCAATGAGGCCCATCTCGCAGGTCACACCATGGAGCTGCTGCCTCCTGCATTCTGCAGGAGCTGCAACAGGGAGAGATCCTGATTAGCAGGAAAATCCTCCAGTGCATCCCTGGGGGGGCTGCGGAGAGTCCGCAGTGACCTTCCCTGTCTGGTCCCAACCACAGGGATCAGGATTGATATTACCCAGGGACTGCAAACCCCAAGGGTCACATCCACCCAGGAGGACTGTGCCCAGCGCCCTGCTCACCTTGTTCAGGATGGGGATGTTTGTCAGCGAGCCCAAAAACCCAAAAGCCACCGGGAAAAAACTCCTGCATTGAAACAAAAGTCTCTGTTAAGCTCCGTGCCAGGATTTTGCAGGGATGGGAGCAGTAGGGTCTGCCCAGGTCTTCAGAGCAACGGGGCTTGATGGCTCCTGGTCTCTAGCCCAGGGCACCCACTGGGGAGCTGGGTGCTGTGAGACAGACCTGAAGAGGTTGACGAAGCCATAAGCTTCCAACAACATGCCCAGGAGGGGCCACCGCATGAGGACGACGACAACCCCACCAAGGAAGAAGCTGGTGCCCTTCATCTTTGGCCGCTGGAAGAAGAAGGTGAAGGTCCTCTTGAAGCCGATGATGAAGACCAAGCCGGAGAGGAAGAGGATCTGGGAGGATGAAGGGGAGTAGGTCAGAGAAGTCCTGCCCATCCTGGGCACCAGTGCCCGCTGTGGGGAGCCGTGGCCCCCCTGTACTCACATTCCCAAAGGCCAGGAGCACCGAGTCGAAGTACAAAAGCATCCCAAAGAGGAGGAAGAAGAGGCCAAAGCCAACCAGTCCCACGCCGATCCCTGCGGAGGACAGGGGAGCACCTCGGGCTGCAGTCACTCTCCTTGGCACATCCCTGGCCCCTTCCCTCCCACAAACCTGCTTTGTATTTGTCTCCAAAGCTTAGAAACAGCCTTTCCACCTGCCCAGGCCTTGGGGAGGCTGTTGGTACCCCAGAAACCCCTCCGGGCTGCTGGAGAAAGACTAAACCACAAAGAAAAAGTAAACGGGAAGGTCATCTCCAGCATTTTTCTAGACAGTTGCATGAAGGGGGTTGGTGCAGGTGCCCGGTGGAAGAGGCTGGAGATGCTTTGGGTCCAAGCCAGGTACATTCCCAGGTGCCATTCCCAACGCAGACCTCAGGCAGAGGATGAGGGCAAACCCATGGGGCTGGTCCCCACACACCCAGCCCTGCCTGGTCCCCATGTTCCTCCACCCCGGGGATGGGGCATTGCACCCCCTCCCTGCCCTGGTGACCCCCCCCACCATCTGCCCTGGCTGGGCGCTGTGGGACATCCCCACGGTGTGCCCTGATGCCACGGGGATGGGCATCACCCCGGGGACACGGCCACCCCAGCCCGTCCGCCCGCTTACGCTGGAAGTCGGTCAGAGACACCATCTTGGAGGCGACGGGGCTGGGCGAGGGCGGGCGCCCTTCCACGTGCCCTCCCTGGCAGTGACCCTTGGAAAAGCCCTTTAGTCCCCACGTCACCCTGCAAATCATTAACAGCCCGGCAGCGCCCGCCCCGCGCCGTCAGCACCTCCTTCAGGGGGGGGACACAGTGGCCGGGCTTCCCTGCAGGGTGACACTTAGAGGGGTTGGTGGCCACGGGTCCCTACGTGTCCTCCCTGGGAAGGGATGGCTTGGAGCAATCCCCAAAACAGGGGACACACATGGTTGTGGTGCTCCTTGGGGTGTCTGGGTGGTATCCAACCTTGCTGCCTGTGGCCAACGCAGGGTCCCCACGTGGCACGTGCCACCCCACAGGGACCTCTACACCCATGTCCCTCAGGAGAGCCCGCAGGGACCAGCTCCCCACATTAACAACCCAGCTGCTTTTATTCCTTGGCTTTATACAGATTTGCCAGGTAGAAATGCAGCATTTTATTCCTCCAAGAGAAGCTACAGGTAAAATAAACCCCACTGAGAAAACGTGTGTGTCCCCCCCCAAATCAGAGAGAGGGAGGAGAAGGTGCCACCAGCCCTGGAGCCAGCCATGGGCAAGGTGAGACCCTTCCCAAGGGCTGAACTGCTGCTGCCATTCATCCACCAGCTCTCATCTCGGAGTGTTAGCCAAGGTCACCTCTAGACAAAAGACAGGGACACCTCGCTGTTTCTTAGATACTTTTTATTTCTCTAACACTAGCAAAAAACCCCAGAAAACAACTGCCTCCCTTCCCACCCTCCCCAGTGCATAAATAGATTTCCTCCCGATGCAAATCCTTTCTCGGTTACAAGTCACTGGTATATGAAGTGTTATGAAAAATAATAACCAAAATAAAATTAAGAATTAAGTTTCGTCTTTTTTTTTCTTTTTTTTTTTCAAAAAAAACAAAACAAACACAAAATAACGACCACCAGGGTTCCACAACAGGGCAGCCGGGGGGTCCCTGGTGCACGGGGCACACCTGGAACAGGAGCACGGGGATGCTCCTTGTCCCCTCCGGCCCCCCAGACAGGAGGAATTGCTGCCTATGGGTCTGGGTGGCCCCTTGGCTCCCCGCTGGGCCAGCACGGCCTCTGCGTGGGCCACCCACAGCCACGCACCATGGTCCCCGGCACGTCCCCGGTGGTGTCCCCGCAGCCGGTGTAAGTGGGGTCTGCCCCGGTTACACGAGCTGGGGAGCCCGCCCCGGCCCCCCACACTCAGGGACAGAGAGAAATAAACACGTCATCTCTTAAAACTTACAGTCTCTTTATATTTTATTTTAAATAAATTTGCTTTTAATAAAAGCAGAAAAAATATATATATTTTAAATAGGTTTTTTTTT